TGGGCCACCCGTTTGCAGCCTGTTCCCCATGCCCTCAAATGTTCCTCTTCAGACACCAGCGTCTTGATGCTGGACACCCATAATGACTTTATCTCAAAGGGTGTGGGTGGGCTGACTCCAGCAGGCACAACTGGAATTTACTGGGTTGAGGATAGGAAAAGAAACACTGCAATGAAAACACTTTCAGAACTAGTTAAAGGTAATGGAAGAACAACACGGTGAATGTAATTAATGTCATGGAGTTGCACACTTCAAAATGCTCAAAAGGGCAAATCTTATATATAATTTACCAAGATAAAAAAAAAAAAAACCAAACCCTTATTCTTTCCCCCCCCTCTATTCAGAAAGGTTTTCCTAATAGCCAAGTTCAAGTGGGAACTTTGCATTTTACATATCGGACTTTTATTCAAGCTTGCCAATGAACACCACCAGGACTGCTCATGAGTTTAATTGGTTTCCTGTTGTTCTGAGTCCTGCTGTGAAGTCAGAACACGGTGACATTCATCTGGCCCCTGGCAACGGGCTGTGGCAAAACCCCAGGGCTGCGGCTTCGGAGTGGGACCAATGAGCACAGAGAACATCTCATTAAACCTGCAATTACCTTCTGTAATCCAGGCAAAGAGGCAAAGGCAGCAGCCCGCCTACTCCAAGAACAGCTCCCCTTTGTAAAAGCCAGCGCTCTGGGTCGGCTGGCTGAGTGATTCTCACTACAAGGACGTGCTGGCCGCTCCTGGCATTTCAGGACTTTATCCAAGTGTGCGTCAGGGGGCCAGTGCTCACCAAATGCAGTGAAGCCGATGATGATTTCTGGGTATGGTTTAAAAGCCGCCAAGTGGTGGACTCAAGTTAAAAGCTGGTTGTTATCCCCACCAGAGGCCCAAACACAAACTTATTTACTCAAACACAACAGAACAACACGAGGAAAGGCCGTCACAGCTACAGCTCACTTGTAGTAATGGTTTACCCTCAGCCAGGCCTTTAGTAAACACACTCATTTAATAATATTATTAACCTTCCCAATGAGCTGGGGACCGAGTTCTGGGGGCCTAGTGGTAAGAATCTGCACTGAACTCCTGAATGCAAGCGGTTCAAATCCACCAGCTGCTCCGTGGGAGAAGGAGGCACAATCTCCTCCTGTGCGATTAACTGCTTCTGAAAACCTGCTGGCGGGTTGGTCAGCTCTGGGTTGATTCTGACTTGATGGAACTGAACAACAATGGGCCAGTACGAGGGAACTCTGTTGGCCTACTGGTAAGAAGTTGTGCAGCAATCCCAAAGCCAGGTTGAATCCACTACCTGCTCTGTGGGAGAAGGATGGGCAATCTCCTCCTGAAATTTACCACCTCTGAAAACCTGTCAGAGGGTCGGCTATGAGTTGGTTCTGACTCTATGGCACACAACCACCAGAGCAAACTGGCGAGGAGGGCAGGACTGTTACCCCCTCTTGTAGGCGGAGGTAACTGGGGCACAGAGGCATTCACCTGTTCAAACTCCAATAGATCCCTCAGGGAAGTGCTAAAGTTTGGATCCAAACTGTCAGCTCCCAAACCTCTGCCTTGTCGCTGTCAGGACAACTGCGAGGAGTTTTGAGGAGGACAGACCATCACCAGTGGGAAACAGGCAGCCCAGACTGCTACCTCTGAGGCTCTCTGCTTCTCGAGCTCTGTACCTTGTTTTGTCTTTGAGCCATCTTCCAATCTGTCAGCTATAGATGCTTGATAACAATAAAAATGATTCTCATCCAGACATGCACATGAAGTCTGTCTGACAGAAGGACAATTGACTTCCCACTCCCACAGCCAGTTCTGCATCTATCTGTAAAGTCACCTCTGCATCCCATATTGTCTACACAGGAGCAGGCATCTGAACTCTCCTTTGATGTAGTTATTATGACATCTTACTAGTTCCTTCATTAATTAATGAGCTACATAAAATCTGACAAGTGTTCTCTTTATATATACATGAGAGGCAAGTCTTTAAAAACCCCCAAAAAAACAAAACCAAAAAAAGTCTCTGTCAACACCACTACTGCATACTTCTAAGTGCAAGGCAGGAACTAAATGCTGCAGGCACAAACTTCCTCAGCTCAGTTCTACTTCTAAGGGGCAGGCGTCTTGTGAGGGAGATCAGTACGTGTGTAAATATCACCTTCTTCCTCTCACTGTCAAGCTGGAACCCACTCAACTCATAGCTGACCTTCCCCTGGGTTTCTAAGATGCAAAGCACACAGGGGGTTATTGCCAATCTTTCTCCCACTGATGGATTCAAAGCCACTGATGGATTTGAAAAGGCAAAAAGACACAGCTTTTGGGTTAACAGAGCAATTTCCTACAGATTAGGCCACCAGAGGCCCATGTAAATATATATACATAACACACGTAACAGGGAGCTCTGGTGGCCTAGTGGTGAGAAGCTGCACTGCAATCTCAAAGGCACACAGTTTGAATACACCAGGAACACTGGGGGGAACTCTAGTTATCTGATTCTCCTCCAGTGTGATTTATTGTCTCTGAAAACCCACGGGAGGGTCAGCGACGGGTCAGTTCTGACTTGATAGTAAACAACAACAACAACGTGCACATACCAGTAGTTTGGCAAAGATACAACATTCTCAACAACCAGTGTCACATACTACTAGAAGCAACTGATGGAATCAATTTAAAAACACCTGGGAAACAAAACAGATATCCTGGGATATGACCACGTATGTATGTATGAACGTTGACCATTACTGTAAACACTCTTTTTAAAAGCAATAATAGTAAGTACTTTTGCTGTGGGGATCGGCACACAAATACCTAAAGGATGACAGTTAATTTTTTTAACCTCTAGTTTTCTGCAGCTAGAAACTTGGGAGAGCATTTCTAGTGGCCTGGTCCCAGGAAGCTCTGTGTTCAAGCAGTTTACACAGGCTGTTGTTGTTGGTATTGAGTCATGTACAACTCACAGCGACCATATGAACAACAGGTCTGAACCCTGTCCTGTCCTGTCTCAGCCTTATCACCTCTGACACACTTGAGCCCACTGGTGCAATCAAGGTGTCAGTCACTCTCGTTAAGAATCTTCCTTTTTAGATGGGAGTTGAGATGAAATGTTTGACTATTTCACATCCATATCCCCTATAAGCTTATATATGAAAATTAACTTTAAAAACTCACTTTTTGGGAATCTCATAATTTAAGAAATATGGGGGTTAGGATGGGTTCCTTTCCTCAGGCATATTCTGTAATTACAAAAGACTGTGTTAAATGTTACAACAGAGATATGGAGGAAGTGTGAGGGAGGGCAACAAAGGGAATCATTGACTCCGCTGGGTGTTTCGGGTAAGCTCCGGAAAGGCGAGGTCGTGAGGGAAGGGCAGGATTCCACCCGGCAGTGGAAAGGGCTGTGGCTGGCTGAGCAGAAGCGCTGTGGAGGAGCTGGGCATGCGTCGAGAATGTCCTGCCTGTCCCCTTTGCTTTAACCTGAGGTGGAGCAGAGGAGCAGATGAGGTGAGGAGGGAAAAGACAGCTGGGACCATGTCACACATGGCCCCATCCATACACACAGGAAGCTTGGATTTATCCAGAAGCAACAGGGGACATGATCAGAGGAGCTGCTGAAGCTAGAGAAAGACCTTTCAGACTTAAGTTTTAGAAAGATGGCTTAGTTCCAGCATAGGAAAGCAGGCTGAGTAGGGAGCCCCAGGGACAGGATGCTCCAAAGAGGCTTTGGGCAGGGTTCAGGGGTGAGAGAAAGGAAGGAATGTGAGACATATTCAGAAGGCAGAATCCGTGAGAGCTGGGGTGAGCTAACTGGGAAGTCAGGAGCATCATTAACCAAGACAGAGCAAGCAAGCTGTGCAGGTCTGGGGAACCACAGCTAGTTCCAGGGGCTCTGGAAGACATACAGCCACCCAGCACAGGCAAAAAAGGGGACTCAAGAGCAAGAGAGGGTTGAGAGAAGACAGAAAAGTGTGAGGTGCTGGTCCGATTTACAACTCAGAAATGTGCAGAAGTGTTAGCACTGCAGCTCGAGACTGCTGTTCTTTGAAAGGGCTTGGGCTCCAGGGTGGTCAAGAGTTCCTACTGGGATGTAAAACTTGCCCAGAGTGATGAGGGTGACTCACACGGTCAGTGTTTGGACAAAGCATGTTGAGGCCCTGCTCTTCTCCTGGGGTGGAGTTTTCGTACATACCAGCTAGTGGTGCCTAAAAGACCCTCTCCAGTGAAAACAAGCGTCCAGAGTCCTAATGAACACCTGGTAGACAGTCTGCACGCGCTGCCAACCTGAGGGCAACCAGCATGATCTGCGCGATCTCACAGGAGGATGACTCTGGAAGCCTTGTTTGATTTCTCCAGCACACACACCTTCCCTTTTGCTAAGCTGCTCTGTGAGCTTTCACTCCAGTAAGACCTGGCCACGATTACGACTGTGATGAATCCTAGGAGTCCTTGTAGTGAATTATCAAACCGGGAGATGATCTTCAGGATGCTCAGTTACTACTGTTTCCAAGAAATTAATTGGGCGAGTCCAAGTCAAATGACCAAAGCAAACAGAAAGCTAAACAGAGTATATGCGGAATATTCTAGATCAGCGGTTTAAAACCCTTTTTATTTTTAAAGTGACAGAATTCTAAAAAAAAAAAGTAACAGAATTCTAATACAAGCTTACAAATGAAACTGCTACTACTTATTGATCTATTCCACAAATTAGCAGATCCACAAGCAAAGAAACCTGCCTCTTTCATTCATGGTGGCATCCCTGCACCACCTAACCCAACACCTGCACTCTGTAGAAAGCTTACAGTAAATATTTCATCAACGGAATTAAATAATTTAGATTCAGATGAATGAAATTTACTTAATAAGACACCACTGAAGCTAGTCTGATGAAATAAAAAGCCCCATGATTGCACTCGGGAGTGCTCTCCAGATGAAGATTAAACTCTCATGCCAGACTCGGCACATGCGGTTCAAACTGGAAACCCGCAGAGTCCCAGACACGGCGCCTTTTCTTACCGACTTGCCGTTTGGAAACAGGAGTGTAAGCCGACCAAGAAGGGGTTGCTGGATGCCTGCTCAAACACGTGCTTCTCTGTCTGTACCCAGTCGATGTCCTGAAATAGAAACACAGGAGTGCTAATGAGGCTCTAAACACCCCCACAGGCATCCTGGTGCAGGGGGAGGTAACGGAGGGCAGGCTCCATATCTTCGTGTGGAAAGATAATGCAAAGACGAAAACACACACCTCATCACCACCCCTACCGCCATCCATCACCAGCTCCATGCATCTCCAGCACCACTATGTCATAATCTACCACTACTGTTGTTAGGCACTGTGAACACTGAAAAAAACACCACCCTATGAACAAAAGACCTGAATCCTGGCCTCTCCTGCATCATCCTCATCATCTCCGACATACTGGAGTCCACTGCCACAGTCACTATGTCAATCCAGCTCAGTAAGAGTCTTCCTCTCTTTCACGGACCTTACATTTTTCCAAGTACGATGTCCCTTTCCAAGGAATAGCCTCTCCTAGCAACATGCCCAAAGACTGAAAGACAAAGTTTTGACATCTCTGCCTTCAAGGAGCACTCTTGCTGTACTTTCCCCAAGACAAACCTGTTCATTCTTTTGGCAGTCCATGGAATATTCAGTACTCTTCTCCAACATCATAAGTCAGTGTCATCAATTCTTATTCTGGCATTATAATCTGTAATCACTATCATTCATTAATCTCTACCACCATCATTATCTACTATGACCAATATCCACCATCACAATCTCTATTATTGCCATCACTACTACAAGGAGCTCCCCGATTAAAACAAGCTTGGAAGGAGGAGTGGCATCCACTTCCATAATAGCTTGCCTCCGGAAACCCTATGAACCTGGAGAGAGGATGAAAGGCACCCAAGCATTGAGGACTCGCCTTCATAGGGTCGCTATAAGTTGCCTGAGACTCGACGGCACTTAACAACAATAATATCAACACAGAGAGAGAGATCAGCTGGCTGAGTGGACAGAAAGCGATGCCACCAAGCCAAAGGTGGGTGACTTTTAATCCGCAGCCCTCGGGCCTGTCTTTCATTGTTTTTGTTCAGATATTCCTCTAGGTCGTATAGCCCTGGTGTACAAGTTGCCGTACAGCGGTAACTTGTGGTTGCTGTGTGTGAGGCTGAACACTGTGACACTGATGTGTCAAATGCCTTAATGGTTGGTTACCCAATGCGCACAGAGTAGGGTGGAGCTCCCCAATTAAAACAAGCTTGGAAGGAGGAGTGGCATCCACTTCCATAACAGCTTGCCTCCGGAAACCCTATGAACCTGGAGAGAGGATGAAAGGCACCCAAGTGTCAAGGACTCGCCTTCATAGGGTCGCTATGAGTTGCCTGCAACTCGACGGCACTTAACAACAACAACAACTACAAGGAGAAGAGCATTGAATAGCCCATGAACTTCCAAAAGAATGAAGAGGTACATCTTGGTAAAGATGTAGCTGGAGTGTGCCTTGGAGGCAAGGACAGCAAAGCTTCGTCTCTCATACTTTGGGTATGTTCTTAGGAGAGGCTATTTCTTGGAAATAGTTTGGAAGGGTAGAGGGTCAATGAAAGATAGAAAATCTCCAGCAAGACGGACTGACACGGTGACTACAGCAATGGATGATGAGGGATACAGGGATGGTGAGGATGCATAGGAGAGGACGGGAGTCAGGACTGTTGTTCACAGTATAAGCTGTACTTGACTTGACAGCACCTAACAACAACCACCACCACCCATCATCATCTCCTCCACCAATGGTCTATCACCACCACCATCATTTTCTTTTTACTACTACTGTGGTGTTAGGACTTTTGAAAATGGCTTTTAATATCCATTACCTTAGCCCTCCCTCGCTAGGGGCATGGTCTCCAGCTGCCTCAACTGTGGAACAAGGTTTGCAACTGATCAGTGTCTTCTACATCATTAACAGCTGTGAGACCCACATAAGAGGGAGAACTGGCTAAACTGTAAGACTGTGGTGAGGCATTGCTTGAAGGAGCCCCGGAGACAGAGCCAGTGTTAAAGGTTCTGCTTGCTGGATGACTGAAGGGAGTGCTGACTTCTGGCTGCTATGAGACAAAGCTTGCTGAACGAGAAAACAAGCTTCTTGCATTTGTGTTGCTGGGTTGAGTCTGTACTTTCACTTGTTGATTGAGAAGCTGTCTGAACGTATTAAGGAACTGTATCTTGTCAGTCTGGCTTGGGATGGTTGGACTAACCATGAATAAAGTTTGTGAGTCAATTTGCAACACTGAACCCAGTGATTAGTTAAGTGTAGGAGTATGTCTGACTTTGTAGCTATTTGTTTAGTACTGTGGATATTACTGATGGGGACAGTTCCCCTTTGTAGAGTTAATGGAGGTCAGACTCAGTCTTCTCCATGTTGCTCTTTTGACAACTATCATTCATCACTATCTCCATCATGGTAACCAATCACTCCCACCACCAATCTCTACCACCAACATCATTATAAGCACTACCCATCACCCATTATTATATCTCTGTCACCACCAAGAGATGTTTGACACTGGGAAAGTCTTCTGTTAGGGTCCTCTCCAAAGTCCTACAGAGCAATGATGTCAGACTGAGGGGCATCATTCAAGCCATGGTTTTCCATTCACCAGCCGTGCACCTTAGAGCTGGATAATGACTAGGGATGACGAATCAATGCCTCTGAGTTGTGGTGTTAGAGAGGAGTACTGAATATTCCATGGACAACCAAAGGAACATACATATGTCTTGGAGAAGGTACAAGCAGAGGCAAAGAGGGCAAGGCTTCGTCTCACAGACTTTGGACATATTGTTAGGAGTGGCTATTCCTTGAAAAGGGACATCATGCATGGAAAGGTGAAGGGTCAGCAAAGGAGAGGAAGAGCCTCAGTGAGGTGGGTTGATACAGTATCTGTGGCAATGGGTTCAAGTGTGTTTGGCACGATAAGGATGATGCAGGATACGAGAGGTTCAGAACAGTGGTTCACATGAGTCACACGTGACTTGATGGCACCTAACAACATCCAAGACTCTGGGAACTAAATTAGCAAATGTTTAGGGCTCCCCTCTACTGAGTCAAAAACTGTCTGCACATGCTCTTTCTTGGCTCCGTCCTCCCTGGGATCCCAGCACTGCCTTCTCTTCTCTTTGCTCCCAGAAGATGCTATGCAGGAGAAAGGCTGCAAACCCCATGACTGACTTGAGAGCCCGCTCCCCCACTCAAGTTCCGTAAGTGTCAGACTTGCTCATTCAGAGGCTCCTTCATATTCCCATCAGGCATCTCAAACTTCACAATATTCCCACAGCTAGAGTTCTTGACTATATCCTGCTACTCACTGCTCCCATCTCCAGCTATTACTGTTGTTACAGACTAGTCTTTTCTTCACTTCTAAGAGTCTCAACTAGCCTTCAGGTATAAAAGGACAAGAGTAAAAGTACGTGAAGTCAACAAACATGGAAAGATGTTCAATGTCCTTAGTCATGAGGGAAATGCAGATACAAATTCTCTAAGACCAAACATATTCCCTGCCACTGAGTCGATTCAAACTCACAGCAAACATCTACCAGGTTTCTAAGACCATAAACCTTTACAGAGGACACTGCCCAGCTGTCTCTGAGGTATCAGCTGATGGGTTTGAACCACTGAGCTTTCAGTTAGCAGATATATATTATAAGCCATACTATGAACTTCGAGGACATGTACCAGTTCAGCAGTGATATGTCACCAAGGATCCTTAAAACAGGCACTTGAAAGCTAACACGGCAAAGACAGACAACATCAACTGTTGATGAGGACGTGGAATTGGAACTCTTGTGCGTTGGCACTGGGAATGAAAAATGGTACAGTCACAGTGGAAAATTGCCTGGCAGGTCCTCAAAAGTCAATCCAGAATTATGTACCATGTAACTCAGCAATTCTACTCCTAAGTATTGTTGTTGCATCTCTGAAGCCTGCCCTGTCCTGAGCCAGTTTCACTGACTCCGATACACCTACCCTCACTGCCCCAGTTACTGTATCAATCTGTCTCATCTAGGGTCTTCCTCTGCTGCACTGTCTCTCCACCCTTCCAAGCATAATGTCCTTCTCCAAAGATCAGTCCCTCCTGGCCCCGTGTCTAAAGTATGTGAGACAGCTTCAAAATCCTAGTGTCCAAGAAGAAACTTGGTTTCACTTTCTCCAAGCCAGACTTTATTGATTTTTTGGCAGTTCAAAAAGACTCTTCTCCATCACCACAGCTCAAAGACATCAAAGTATATAAACACAAAATTTGAAAGCAAGGACTCAAATAGCTATGTGTACATGCACATTCACTGCAGCATTTCACAACAGCCAAAAGGTAGAAACATCCCAAGTGTCCATCACAGGTGAATGGATAAACACAATGCGGTCCACACAGACAATGAAATACTACTAAGTTACAAAAAGGAATGACGTACTGACCCAGGCCATGACAGTCTGTATGACTTCATTTGTATCAAGTGTCCCAAATCCACCATCATTGATTCTGACTCACAACAACCCTCTACTGGGGTTCTGAGGCTGTAACTGACAGGAGGAGACTGTCCATTTTTCTCCCACAAATCAACTGGTGGACTGGAACTTCTGACCTTTTGGTAGCAACCTGACACGCTACGTATCACACCACCAGAGCTCTCTCTGAAGTGTCCAGTATAGGTAAATCCACAGAGACAGGAAGTAGCCTGGTGGTCTCTAGAGCTAGAGAGGAAAGGGAGGTGGACCACTTGATGGGTGGGAGGAATGTCTTCACTTAGGGTGATGGAAATATTCTCGGTTTAGACAATAGTGATGGTTGCCTGACCTTATGAATATATTTAATTCATGCCACTGAATTAAGTCTTTAAAATGGTAAATTTTATGTTATGTGTATTTTATAACCACAAAAAGGACACAAAAGCCAGAATTAAGACTCCAATAAACAAACTTGAAATCATAAAATTTCAACCTTGTAACTTTTAGTTCAGAAACCACTGCCTTGAGATGTTTTAAGACAGCATATAGTCTCAACACTTCAGCAATGTTGTTTATGAAGGCAACAAAGCTGAGTGGAGGTCACATTGTGGACGCAAACGGGGCCACCACCTTGAGGGGGTCTTTCTACCTCACCTTCCCTTCCACCCTGAGGACACAGAGTCAGCCTAGCCCAAAGGGACATCGCAATAATGGCAGTGGTGCTGAGCTCACTCTGGACTCTTCTTAATTTTCATTATATTGTAATGCAAACAATCTATCTGCTTAAGAATATTAGTCTCCTTGCACCCATTCATTTGACTATAATCTAAAGGGGGTTTGTGTTCAGAATACAGGGCTTCCTCAGCACATATCCACTGCCAGGGGAGTGCTTGGTTCCCCAGGTCCTCCAGGGGAACTGACCTCGTCATCATGGACCAGCTCCTTCTTCACCACCTTCATGGCGTAGATCTGGTCGTTCTTTTTCAACCGCACCAAGAGGACTTTGGCGTAGCTTCCTCGCCCGATGACTCTGATTAGGTCAAAGTCCTGCAGCCCAAGCCCCTGAGATATTTTGATTCCATCCATCCCATCAATAACTGGTTTAAGGTCCTGTGGGGTGAGAAGGAAACAAAGCAAAAGTTCGTAGATAAAAGGGATCTTTAGTGAGATTCAGAGACTGATGCCTCATTTATCCCCATCAACCAGGATCTTGCTCCACAGAGCTCACAGCCATCACTGTACTCACTCAGGGACAGGTCATTTCTGCACTATAGCCTCTACTTTCCAATCCACCCCCGAAATCAAAGAATGAGAGTGTGGCCACCATCAGTTAGTCAGTTTGTTGTCCTGTGGTGGCTTCCATGTTACCAGAATGGCAGTTACATCACTGTCATTTCAAAATATCAGCAGGGTCATCTTTGGTGGACAAGTTACAGCAGATCTTTTAGACTAGGAAGAAAAGCTCAGTGAACGATTTCCAAAATGATGTTAGGTGCTGTCCAACTGACTACAACTCATAGAGACCCTATAACTGAGGAGCAATGATGTCAGTTTGAGGACTAAGTTGTGTCTGATTCAGGTCATGGTCATTCTGATCACTTGCTATGAGTTTCAGAGTTGGACAATGAACAAGGATGACAGAAGAAGAACTGATGCCTTTGAGGTGTGGTGAGAAGAGTACTGAATATCCCATGGACTGCCAAAAGAACAAACGAATGTATTTTGGAAAAAGTACAGCCTGAGTGCTCCTTAGAGAAAAAGATGATACAGCTTTGTCTCACATACTTCAGGCATTTTGCTAGGAGAGGTAATTTCTTAAAGAGGGACATCATGCTTGGAAAGGTGGAGGGTTGGCAAAAGAGAGGGAGACCCTCAACCAGATGGACTGACATAGTGACTGTTGCAAAGGGCTCGAGTGTATCAGGAAGTATAGGATAGGCTTAAGGTATGTTGTTCATAGGGTTGCTATGGGTTGTACTCGACTTGACAGCACCTAACAACAACAGGGTGATCCTATTAACGACAGATCAAAAACCTTGTCCTATCTTCATAATCACAATCTATGAGGTATCTTCCCTGGCAAAATTTAGCCCATGAAGATCCTATATGAATCAGAACAGAACTCTGATTTGTCTGAATTGAACATGTCACCAGAAGGGATTAATAATTAGATGAGGACATCATGTTTGGTGAAGAGGTGGGCCAGCATGCGTGAAGAAGACCCTTGGTGAGGAGGACTGGCCCAGTAGCCGCAATGAAGGACTTGAATGGGGACTGGGCACTGTTTCTTCCTATTGTACATAAGTTGAGTCTGTTCACCATGAGCTGAGCAGAGTCAATGGCAGCTTACAGCAACAAAGAGTGAAGAACTTATCAAGGAAGAAGCTGGAAGCCCAAACACTACTGGTGGCTACAGACGAGCAATGAGTCCCAAGCCCCATGTGGTTCTCATGGGAGGTGTGGGACTCCCAGAGGGCCATAGGCCTGGCTAAAGAGATGGTCAGGGGGTCCAGAGATCCCCAGTCATGCAGCTGGGGTCACCAGAGTGCCTGAGGCGGTGTTCCCATCATTGGGCTTCCCCCTGGGGGGATTACAAAGCATAACCTGTTAACATTTGCAAGAATATACCAAACCCCAGAGCAAGTATTATTAGAAATACATAATGAAAGAGTGAAGCAATCCAATTAGGAACAGCAGCTTCCCTCCTGCGAGTGGTTTCTGGCAAGAATGTGTGTGGTGGGGGAAGGAGGGAGTGGCACAGGGCTGTTCTGTGAAACAAAACGGATCCTGTGTTCCTCGTGCCTCTGCCTCACTGCAGACCCAGAATGACCAATCAGATACATCTAGAGGGTGACATCTGTCAGTCACTTTGCAAAAGACCTTTGCAAAGTAGAGCAGTTTCTTGAGGTTTTGTGAAAAAGGGTTAAAAATAGCAGCCTGCATTATTCAGTTTTCCTTCCTCAGGAAGATGACAGAATTGTGCATCCTTAATTTGCCAAAGAAGGTGGAGATGCAAGACTTCAGCTCCACAACCAGGCCCAGCATCCATTCTGCCATCTGGGTAGACAGGGCGCTAGGATGGCCACAGCTACACAGGCCTTCAGAATCAGGAGGGAGGGCAGGGTCAAGAAACTGATCCCAAGTTACCCTAGTAACAACAGCCTCTGAGGGACTCACAGAGAACGTGCCTGAGGCATGATCCCAATGAACATACAATAGTTCAGAGATAGGTGTGATCGGTTCCCTAACACCACAGAAGAGGAGCCCAAAGATCAGAGTGGTCCCCTGCCCCTAACTCACACCAGGACTGCTTTTGGGCACAAGGCCACAGAAATCCAACTAATGACCCTCTACTCCAACATCAGCTCTGTAAGAACACTGGACACGCAGTGGCTCATGCCTTGCGACAGTCACTTTGTCCATCTATCCTGACCTCTGTGCTAAATGTGCAGAGCAACACAAGGACTTCACCTTGAACTGCCCAAGAATCAGGCTCTTCTACTTTATAATCATTCTATAAACTATCTAACTCATTTTTAAAATGTTCAACATTGCCCTAGAAGTGAGGAAGACCCTGGAAATACGAAAGATCTGATACACTCACCTCAGAATCGTCTTTAATGTTGTCATGTTTCCGGGTTGAAGAAATATATGCAACTAGTGAAGAGAGGGAGAAAAAGAGAGACGTTAGTGGTGTCATCAGGAATACAGCCACAGAAGCCTCAGATGGTCATGGCTGGCCCTCCACAGTGGCCCATGGTCAACCTGCAGTATTCAAGACAAGTCCACCAATCAGGCCTGACTCAACTAGAGTCTGGTGAAGAGTAAAGGTCTCTGGGCATCACATCTGAGACAGGACCTGGGAATTGACACTTGGAACAAGTTTCCCTGGGGTTTGTTTTTTATCTGAACCAGTCATAAGACTTGTGACTAGTCTTGTTTTAGAATATATGGATGGATAAATGGATGGACAGATATCTGAACCATGGAGGAATAGGTGAATGGATAAACAGATATATGGACTTATTTTATAAACGGTTGCTTATGTACAGTCTCCTTTGTTAAGGGTTCTCTCTTGCATGACCTCATTTAACCCATAGCAGGCTGCCAGGGGGTCAGGATTTCATATTTATCAAAGGCAAGTTAGAGCTTTCAGATAACATTCTGTTTCAGAGCTATGGAAGCTAAGAAAGGATCACTGAAACAACCAGTGTTTGATATCTCTCTAAATGCTTTTTAAAAAAAACACTCCCTTTCCCCAAAACCCAAGAAAACACAATACACACATGACTGTTATGTGGCAGAATGGGGTCCAGGGGTCCTAAGTGTGCACATTTGGACAGTGGCAAGATTGTGGGAGATACTCGAATGAGGTGGTAGGAATAGTAAGAGGGCTCTCAGAATTCCTCAAGTGTGTGAAGAGGGAAAAGACCTCCCCAACTCTCGTGGTGGTACCTCATGAAGCCACTGCCCCAGGTGCTCCCCCAAACTGTCCATCCTACCCCAACTGCCTGTTGCTGCCTGGTGATCTGCTAGGGGACCTCAGAAGAGGGAGACCCTGAGATGATATGCCCAGTGCATCAGCCAGGTCGGCTGTGCCTGTCCACATGGACCCTTGGGGAGTAGACAAGATTTGGAAGAGCTGATGGTCAGGAAAGGGGGGGAAGGTCAAAAGGGGCCCCAGGTAGGAAGTGAGAAAGCAGCAGCCCTACTCTCTTCAGTGTTCTCTGGGTCCACATCGTCATTCTTGTCGTCTACTGGAGGTTCCTGGGAAGGCATGACAGAATCCTGCGGGGAGAAAGGCCTGTGAGTGCGCCCCAGGTGTCAGCATGGGCTCCAGGACGCAGGTGTGCAATCGCATCACAGGTGCAGCACACCACAGGGTCGTCCCCATCCACAGCCCACACGCCCACACTGTTTCTACAACTTTACGGTACAGTCACCCAACAGTCAACCCATGGTGGCTGAGTGGTAAGGATTTGCACTGACAATCCAAAGACACACAGTTCAAATCCACCGGCTGCTCTGCATGGGCAGTCTCCTCTCAGGTGACTGACAGCCTCTGAAAATCTGCTGGAGGTTCTGCCATGAGCCAGTTCCAACTCAACAGCACAAAACACCAACATACATCCCATAGAATCATTTCTAAAACCAACTGCACAGTCTCCCTGCACACATCTCGTGTAATCATATCCCATGCAGCCACATCCCGTGTAATCACATCATTTCTATAACCACACTCTGGTCACCTCGCAGTGTATCAAAGGAAGGACAAGGAAGTTACCCTGTGGCTTCAGTCAGATGCCCACTCAGCCTCCTTGGGAATGGCCTTCCAGAAGGTGCTTTCACATACTACGCAGCCTTTCCTTCCCTCCACACTGTCTCCCAGTAACCACACCCTGAATTCCTCCCAGGGACCCCTATGCTGACATCATTATGCAGACATTCCTAGGCCAGAAGTCTAGCTCTCACACAGCCCTAAGACACTCTGAGCTTTGGAATCTCTCTTATGTCCTGGAGCCAAAGGAACAATAAATAGAGACACAGGTTGCATGTGTCATTATGGCTTCTGGTACACGTGGCTGGAAGGCTTCCTAGAAGGACACAGCCAGTGTGTACCAGTGACTTGACAAGTCAATTGCAACTCATGCCAACACTCCATGGGGTTTTTGAGGCTGCACATCTTTATAGGTGGAGATTGCCTATCTTTCTTCCAAGCAGCACCTGGTGGGTTCGAACTGCTGACTTTTTTAGGTTGCCAGAACATCACATAACACATTATGCTACCAGAGCTCCTTAAACCACAATAAAACTTCTTTTTGGAAGAAATTTTGGAAAAATTTCTTTTCTACCTTCCACACTGGAGCTTCCCTCCACCCTGTGCTTTACAGTGGCACAGCCAGGTGGGGGTAAAGGCAGGAGGCTGGGCAGTAGAGCCCTCAGTAAGGAAAAGCCCCTCATGCACCAATAATAATATCTGAAGTGACATTAAAGGGTGCAGCTGCCAGGATCATGGGCTCATCACCAAGAGCACAAACTGGTTTCCCAGGAATGCTCAGGAGGGGACCATAAAAGGTGAGGGGCACCCCAGGAGTCACAGAGGGAGCTTGGCTGCACCTCCACAGCAGCCACATGTACAAAGGAGTGTCCCCTGACTCTTCAGCACAGGGTGGGTACACTAGTGGTCCTTACAAGATATGAGGGGCTCAGAAAGAAGTCCAGCCCACTGCCCTGACCCTTGCCCCCAAATCATTTACCCTTTAGCCTAGAGATACCCTTTCCCTTTGTCTCGCTGATCTACCCAAGGATTCTGGCCACAGGGGATACTGTGAACCCTCTGAGATGGACACAGGCACCGAGGACCACAGAATTAGCAAGGGCAAAGGTGAAGATCCCCACTAGACCTGCTCCTGCTCAGGTATCTCCCCAGGATAAGACTGTCCTGCACACCGGCCCCCTCCACCCCGCCGGCCACCTCTCCAGCCTCGGGACTCACCATATGCTTTTCGCAGGTCAGCGGGACGAGGATGTGGCAGCGTTTATGGACCAGGAGTTTGCAGTTGATACACTTGTAGCCTTGCTTTCCGAGACCCCATATCCTTTCGCTGCACTGGCCGCAGTACGCTTTCTGGAGACAGGGAACTCAGCGTCATTGCTTGGACCCACCCTGCCCTCTGGGTGCTTCCCGAGGGACTTGCTGACCATTTCCAGCTGATTTTTCTTGAAAGATGACACAGAACTGGGGCAGGGTTGGCACTGTCCCCTCATCAAACCAGCACCAGAGTTAGTCCGCATCGTGGGGTCAGGGAAGCCTGCCCTTGCAAACTGTCCGCTGTCCTGGACAGGGCCACGTATGGCTGACGGGCGTGGGGAAAGCCCCTCGCCCCACTCCACCGATACACATCAGCTCATCTGCATGACTTCATGGCAACACATACCTATCTTCACTAGTCTGATGTTCTAGAGAAGTCAGCCTAAGATATCAATGTTCACTAGAGCCAGAAGGTGTGAATAACCCAAATGTCCACCACAAGATAGATAAATGAAATAAATTCCACCCATTCGGTGGTCTCTCTAGACGGCAGCTATTATTCTACCATCAAGAGACCAAAAGACCAAATAGTGTAGGATCCCACTAATATGAAAGCCTGAGAACAGGCTCATGCAGAGGCCAAAGGTCATCAGGAGTTTCCAAGGGTAGCAGTAGGGGAAAAGGGACAGTCCTTGCTTACGGGGCACTGGGCTTTTGTTAAGGAAGATGACGACTAATGGTGATACAGCATGGTAAGCACAATTCATGCCACTGAAAGTGCACTTAGAAACGGCTGAAATGGTAAATGCTTTGTTAACATGTTTTACTATGATTTAAGAGAGAGAACACAACTGTACAGTTTTCCAGTCTGAACTGAATTCATTTAAGAAAACGGACCAATCCCTGACAATAGGTCAGCATGGGTGTGGCAGGGTGTTTTAAAGCCCCCGAGGGTGGTGCTTTGTGCTGGCAGCCCTGGGAAACCAGCAGGGCCGGTTGGAGAGCCTGGACTGGGGTCAGTCCCTCTCTTCAAAAGAGGAAGGAGCCAGGCTGAGGGTGGGGGTGGCTGTGGTGGGAATGAGGTGTGCTGGGCTCTGCGGGCCTCTGTACCCCATCTACTAGGAACCTTAGGCACCCGTCCTGTTTGCGGGGGTCCCTACCTGACACTGACTTTCCAGGTGGGATATGCAGGCACTAGGTCTTCCTGAGAAGTCCTCTAGGCTCCTGTCTGATCCTGCCCTTCTACGTACTGCCCCTTCAACCCTGCATCTCAGCACTGTCCATATCCCTCCTGGTCACTCAGGAGCATGACCAGGCCTCACTCATGTGTCCACACTCCATGGCAGGAGATAACACAGTAGTCAGCCCTGGAGGGAGACTCAACCCCCTGAGACCTGTCCAGGGTAGCTTAAGGACAGGATGGAGGAAGTGGAGGCTCTATTCTAGGGTAACAGTGGACTCAATGTGAGGCCCTTGCAGCACAAACAAGGTGAGAGTAGCCACTGCTCCTGGCATAGGTCAACCTTAGGGGGCACGGCCCAGACACCATGATATGCAGCCCCCATGACCATTACACTACTGTCACCCCACTTTGCAGCTGGGTACAAGGCAGGAAGGATCATGCCCAAGACACTCAGTCTAGGCCTGGGTTCTGAACATGAGGCTCCTGGGATGTGTCTGAGCCATTGGCCGGGTGGTACCTGCCAAGATGTGGGGACGAGGCGCCAAGTGGAACTGCAGGCTTCCAGGATGACCCATTCATACACACCCCAGGGTCAACCCCTGCCATATGGGACAGGCCCAACTGTCACTGTACCTCCAGGTGTCAAACACCCTCTCTCTCCATTTTGAAATTATATCATCAGAAAGTTACTAAATCACCTGACTTCTAGAAAACGCAAAAGTGTTAGAGAGAGGTGATGGAGAAATGAGTTAGCACACCCACAGACTAGATATGGCCAGGGTGGTGGGCGTGAATGTAGGCTGTGGAGGGGTGCAGGTCACCCATAGCAGGGGAAGGCTGACTAAGGCTTCTGGGCCCATGCGGACCCTCAGTGGCAAGGGCTCTGCCTGCAGTGAGAACACACATCTGCTACCACCTGTAGAATGGGCAGCCTCCCATCATGGGTGACTAAGGACGCCCCGTGGTGGTGTTCCTGAGATGGACCAACAGCTCAGAGCGTCACATGTCACTCCACATAGAAACTGAGCTGGAAATTTAATGGGAAAATCTCCCGGGCAAAGCACTCATGCTGCGGCGCCCATGCCACAGGGGTTGGCCCCTTCCTCCTATGCCCAGTACGTGGGGAAAGGAATCCCTGGTTTGGGCAGGCAGCATCTCTCAGTTTCCTCCCCCCCCCCCCCCCCCATGCCCCATCAGCTTGTGAAGAACAGAGTAAGAGCCTCAGCAGCCACACTGTGCTGCCCTCCACTGGCATCCCCAGGGCTCTGTCCCCACAACACTCACCCTGTTAAAGCGCTTGGCTTGGAAGAGATGGCCGTTGGCGCGGTAGAGCTTCCTCCATCTTCTGGCTCCACGGCGGTAGATGGACTCTGGAAAGGAGATGGGAAAGGCGTAAAGAAATGGCATCCTGGCCACCAGACCACGCACACTGAGGCTAGGCCCGGCTGTGGGAGCCCCAGACCAGGACGGCGGCATCCCAAGTTGGCTGTGTCCAGTCCCAATTCTCACATGATTCCTTATCTGGACCCAGAGCTGTGGCACAGAGAGGCAGCCCAGGTGTGGGGATGGAGGCGGAGAGCCACGGGGAGGGGGGGCCCTGACCAGCTGGGGGGCCGCCTCTCGAAGGCGGGTCAGCGTCTGCAGGAATGAGGCGCGGCCAGCATGCTCACAGCCCTGCCTGTCCTCCGGTTTGTTTTGCTTTCCACGCGCCTTCCCTCTGGGCTGCTCCAGGAAAACCAGGATCTTTTCCTACACAGGGACACTGTTCAACAGAGCTGCGGGCTGGGCACTACGTACACAGGCCCATGTGCGGAAGCCGCTTGGGACGCGCTGCTGAGACCGCGGTCAGGTTAACAGGCAGAGCTGACCCACACTGCTGCAGCCAGGACCCTGGTGGGCCGCGCACAGGCCCTGCTCTCCTCTAACGTCACCAGCCTCGGGGGAGAGGCAAGCAGCTGGATTCCAGCACCAAACCCCAACATTCAAGTGGAGCGGTACCAAAGACGTTATTTCCACAACATGCATTAAATAATTCTGACTTGAAGGGAATAGTACTGTTTCTTAAGTGTTGGCACTATATTGATGGCAAGAACTATTGGTTTTATTCCTCCTTAAACATGCTTCTCACTCTGCTCCTTGCAAACACTGAGAGGCAGATGCGAGTAAAAATAAAATCCGCAGAGGTATAAAGCACAAAGGCAAGCTTTGTGCTCTTACCAAATGCTCCTCTAAAAGCCACTTTCATGAGCAAAATGAAAGAGCCAGGAGTACACCAATGTGGAAATTGTAACGAAATGTTTTTAAAACCAGCAAATTACCAGCTCTGACAGGAACCTGGCCAAGAGCAATCACAGCTATGGCAAAACAAGAGACCAACCCCACCAGATCCTTCTGGAAGTGGGAGCCCCCAAAAATCGAGGGTGAGCTGCAGCCAGACTCCCTCTCACTCCATCCTCAGGCCAAATCTTCAAAGTCTTACTGGGGTCTGCAGGAGACAAACACCTGGGAGGGGCAGCAATGGGGCTACCACCTCACAGATGCGCCTCTGACCACAGGCGCACCACGGTCAGCTCACTTTAGGCACTTGTCTCGACACAGATTCACTGTCCCACGTGGCCAGCATGTCCCTGCCTGCCTTACCTCACATGTGACACCCCTAACCAACTACTCAGAAAGTTTAGGTTCCTAGCTGAGGCCACCGCTGACCAAGGCTGCTCTACGGGCACTGTCTGAGAGGGAGTTACCAAATTGACCTTCATGCAATTACAGCCAGAGACAACGGCTACAGGGATGATCTGGAACTAAAGCCTGTCAAGAGAATCAACTTATTAAAACTCACACATATGGATAAAGATTTCTTTCCTAGGCATCAGGACTTGCCATCAAGTCAATCCAACTCACGGCTACCCCAAGTGTGTCAGAGTAGAACTGGGCTCCACAGGGTTTTCAGGGGCTGATTTTTTTAGATGTTTATCATTGGGCTTCTCTTCAAAGGCACCTGGGTGGACCTGAACTTCTACCCTTTCTTTGTTGGCTGCTGAGTATGTTCCTAGTGTGCTCCACCTAGGGCTCCTATGAAGCAGTAGGCATGTCTGGGCCCAAGATTTAGAATTCTATGCCAGATGAACAAGGTCTTAGCGAGAGAGCTCTTCTGATGATAGAAATGAGAAGGAAGTTGCTTGTCAGGGTCAGTGGGGATGACTGCTAGGGGCCAGGATAGCTGTCAATTAATCCTCCAGGTAAGAGAGCTTGAGGGAGCTCTGATACCCTAGTGGTAAGATGCTGCATGGCAATTCTGAAGACATATGGTAAAAATCCATTAGCTACTCTGCAGAAGAAAAACAGGCAATCTTCTGTGCAATTAATCACCTCTGAAAACCCACCAGGGGCCAGCTATGGGTCAATTCTGACTCGACAGAACACAACAACACCACCACCACCACCACCACAAGAGAGCTTGAGGGTAGGTAAGGGTAAAGATGCAGGACAAGGACAGGAAAAAGAGATCATCAAAAGAAATTCTAAGAACACACCCTACTGAATAGCCTTTGAGTTAAACCAACACCTTGGACAGTAAAGAAACTCGACCCAGCAGAGACCAAGGCTCAGGGGACAAATGGATTGTTGTGGGTGATCTGTGTTCCCTAAAAAGTTACATGGATATTCAAACCCTGTCCCTGTGAATGTGATCCGTTGGGGAAGGGGTTTCCTTTTGTTATGTGAACGAGGTCACATTGGAGTAGAATTGATCCTAAACCCAATTACTTCTGAGACAAGGAGCAGGACAGCCCCAGGCACACCCAGGGAAAGACAGAAGCCAAGGAAGGCTGAGGAACTCTTGGATTGCTGACAAGGAAGACCTTTCCCCACATCAATGCCCTAATTTGAACTGCTATTCTCAAAAACTTGTTCTCACCCCTTTGTGACATTTTTGTTTCAGTAGTGTTAACCACTGGGATGGATAGTAAGGCCACCATGGCCCTGAAGGTATGGTGCATGGCTATTGTTCATGAATACAATGCAATGACCTCAAAAACAACCAGAAAAGTTATCCACAGTAAGAAAAAGCAATCCCTGCCTCACACCATATACAAACTTGACTCCCTAGGAAAGGACATGGTTAAAGATAGAATGCAATACTCTTTTTTAAAAAAGGAAGAAAGAAAATAGAGATCTTAATAATACCAGAATTTAAAAAGTGCTGCAATTATGATATGGTGTTGCTGGAGACAGTGAGATTATTTCGGGATAGGGCAGGGTTCGGAGCCACTGTGAGCCGTAGTCAACTCAATAGCACATAACAACATAATTATGCGATGTCCCCACTGCCTGAAATCTGAAGACAAAAGGCACCTGCCAAAAAGGAGGAGATAAACTGATCTGATGGCATTAAATGCAGGCCAAGTCCATCAACAGGTCATCATGAGAAAGATAAGCTCCACACTGGATGAGATATATGTATAATTCAGGACATAGAATCTCTGTAAATCAACCAAACCATGGCAATTGTGAACAAAAGCAAGGACAAGCCTTCAGAGAACTTATAATGGGAAATGAGTATCTGAAATGAGGCCCCACCTTATGAGCTACTGGCGAATTCCAAGACCACAGGCAGTAAGTATACTTTACAATAAAGGGAACTACCCAAATGCATCTCCTACATCCCAAAAATCATTAAGGGTGCAATTGCTGGTGTTGTTATGAGCCAATGAGTTGGAACTGACTCATAGTCAACCCTCTGTTGGGTTTTTGGAGAATGTCAATCACACTGGAGGAGACTCTCCATCTTTTTCCCTAAGAGCAGCTGATGAATTTGAACCTTATGCCTTTGGGTTGGAAGCACAACTCCTTACCATCTGGCCACCACTGCAACTCAATGAAATAGCACAACCAGGAATTGCTCATTCTCCTGGAAGGTTCTACATGAGTACCTGCGGGGTTTTTAAGGAGGACTACTTGCTTCCACTGGGCCCCAGCTCTTTCACTGCTCCAATATCAAGGCCCAAGAGAAGTTCTTGCATGTAGGCTCAGAGAATATTCAAGATACTCACAAAAGACCATAAGGTTGACTGACAAGACAATGGACAAATAAACTGTGGACAAGGTCTACACAGTGAGATAATTATCAGCTGTAAACACCAACTTCAGTGATACTCTGCAGTACTAACACATCTTTAAGGTACTATAAGACAAATCCCCTGATGATAGACTGGATGAGCTTGCTAAAGTAGAGTGTCTGGGGGGGAAAAGGGAAGGTTTTATTTTTTTGAGGATCTTCTATCGTCAACAATAGGGACTGACACATTGGTGACAACAATGGGCTCAAACACAAGAGGACAGCACAGGGGGCAGCGCTTCTTTCTACCGGACACAGAGCCACTACAAGTTGGAGCCGAACAAGAGAAATCTTTATGGAAGCGGACTAGCAGACAGGTTTAACTCCAAAATGCTTCTGGATGGATTTGAACCAGCAACTTTTGGTGAGCATCTGAGTGCAAACTGTTTGTGCAACCCAGGAACCTTCTTCAAGGCAATTCTTGTGAATTCAAGTGAATGCTCAAGCTCAGATTCAGGAACAGACAGAGTGCAAGCACAGGCAATTTGTTTATTTTTTTTAATTGTGGTAGAATATACTTAATACATATTTGCGATTTTTTTTTAATTTTTTTTTTTTTTTTGTGGAGCTGAGCTGTCTTTCTTGCTGGGGTGCTGGTGCGGCTGGTGCTCTGGAGCGCTTGGTGGGGCGGGTTCGCTTCCCCTTCACCATCACGGGCTTCTTCTGGCCGCGCAGGGTGGCGCTGGCCCTGCGGCTGGTAGCCATGCACAAGTTGGGCCGGTACTTGTTCTTGTGGATCATGTGGCGGATGCTGCTGAGTGTGGCCCGGCCGTTCTTGTGGATGGTGGTCCACATGTGGGAGGTGGCCGGCTTCCTCTGGCCTGACCTCCACTTCATCACCACCACGACCCTCTTGTTGTCGGGGGCCGGCTCCACGCGCAAGGTCTTGCGGTGGATCAGCTGGCTATAGTGGAAGGAGTTGCAGGCTTTTAGGTTACTGGGCTCAGTGCTGTAAGTCTGCTTGTTCCTCTTAATCAAGAAGCTGGAGCAGTTACACACTACCATCCATTGCAGATGGGCAGACATGGCGGCAGCTCTTCTTGCAGGGGCGGCCGGAGATGGAAAGAGCATATGTGCGATTTTGACACATATAATTCAGTAACACTAATTATATCTCCCATGTCAGGGACCTCTCCAAAATACTAAAGAGCAATGATGTCAGTATAGAGACTAAGGTATACCAGATTAAAGTCATGGTCTCGACAATTACTTGCTAGGCATCAGAAAGCTGGACAATGATTAAGGATGACAGAAGAAGAATCAATGTCTTTGAGTTGTGGTGCTGAAGAAGAGCATTGGGCATACTATGGACTACAAAAAACAGGCATGTCCTGGAGAGGGTGTAACCAGGCTGCTCCTTGGAGGCAAGGATTTTGAAGCTTTGTCTCGCATACTTCAGGTATGCTGCCAGGAGGGACCAGTCCTCAGAGAAGGTCATCATGCTTGGAAGGGTGGAGGAACAGCACAAGAGACACTGACCCTGGATGAAAAGGACTGACACAGTAATTGGGATAACCTGGATAAGTGTGTTGGAGACAGTGAGATTGGCTCAGGATAGGGTGGGGTTCAGAGTGAGTCACAGGCAATTCAATGGCACATAATGCCATATGACAATCACCATTTCCAATTTTTGTCATTATCCTTAAAAGACGCTCAGTGTTCCTTAAGGTGAGTCTGAGTCCACGTTTTGCTCTTGGTTGTATGGGGTGGACACACAGTTCCATCGTGTCAAAATACTCTGCTTCTGCGTAGTTTTGTGTATGCAACATGAAACAAACAAAAACTTAAATTAAAAGCATACAGGGAGGGAAGAGCTCCATACAGCTAGATACAATTATAAATGAATTTAAAATACTTTCTTCAGACTCATCTCCAAAAAACGGCATCTCCTTATTTATGTTGTGAGGTGCCCTTAAGTTGGTTCCAACTCCACAGCGATCCTACGTGCAACCGACAGAACCACAGAAACATTGCCCAGTCTTGTCCCATCCTCACAATCATTGCTGTTTGAGCTCATTAGTGTAGCCACCGACGGGTCATCTGTGTCCGTGAGGGTCTTCCTCTTTTCCATAATGATGCCCTTCCTGATAAAACATCCGAAGTACAGGAGATACAGTGTCATCATCTTCAAGTGTAAGCATTATTCTGGACGTACTTCTTCCAAGACAGATTTGCTCATTCTTGTGGTATATTCAGTATTTGCTGCCAATGATGATTGAAAAGCTTCAGTGCTTCTTAGGTCTTCTTTATTCATTGTTCATCTTTCACATGCATATGAGGTGAAAATAACATCGGCTGTGTCAGGCTTGTCTTAGTTCTCAAAAGTGACATCTTTGTGTTTCAGACTTTAAAGAGGTCTTTAGCGGCAGATATTCCCAATGCAATAAACTTATTACTGTCTCACGGAGTCTGACTCCGAGAGATACCATATATGACAGAATAGAACGGCTCGCAGAATTTCTAAGGTTGCGAGTCTTTACGAATTGGACTGTCACATCTTTATTCCATAGAGCAGATGTCGGGTTTGAACTACTGACCTTTCAATTAGCAGAAAGTGCTTGACACTATACCTCCACAGCTTCTAACCAATGCAATACACTATTTAATTTGTAGACTGCTGCTTCTGAGGACACTGGTTGTGGATCCAAGCAAAATTAAAACTTTGCCAACTTCAATATTTTCTTCCTTTATGTTGATGCTGCTTATTTGTCCAGTTGTGAGGATTTTGATTTTCCTTTATGTTGAAGTGTAATCCACATGGAAGTCACTGATCTGCATCAGTGTTTCAAGTCCTCTTCATTTTCAGCAAGCACATTTTTTTATGACTTTAAGGATTTATTTTAGAATTTTTTTTGGGGGGTGGGTGGGGAGTGGGTTGTTGTTGTTAAGTGCCACTGAGTTGAATACGACTCATGGTGACTCTATGAACAACAGATCTGAATCCTATTCTATCCTGTACCTTTCTCATCCATCACCTCTGACACACGTGATCCCCCTGCTGCTGTCACTGTGTCAATCCACTTCGTTGTGGTTCTTCCACCTTTCCAAGCAGGATGTCCCTTTCCAAGGAACAGCCTCTCCTAGCAACACATTCAAAACATGCCAGGAGTTTCTCCACCCTTGACTTCAAAGAATACTCTGACTGTACCTTCTCCAAGACATATTTGTTTGGTTGTTTTTGGCAGTCCATGGGGTGTTCAGGGAGTCTCTGAGGACTCATCCTGCTCCCTGTGCAACTCAGAGGCAACACCCATCCCCTGGCTGGGCACCCTACCCGCTGGCTCTCTGGAGACTGTCGGGAACCTGGGGAATGGTCCCCACACTGCCCTCAGGTGGCACACAAGAGCAGCAAGGAAGAGACTAAAGCAGCAGTAAGCCCAAGGGAGAGAGTCATGTCAGCAAGGCTCATCAGCTCCTGGACCCGGAGGGACAAGCAGCTGAGCCTGAAGCCTATGTCTCACCCAGCTGGCCCAACACAGGGAGTTATTGGGATGGACTGCGTTTCTGTGTCCACTCAGGGGCACCTTAAAAGGCAGGCCTGGCAGCTTGCTTCTGAAAATCTAGCTAGTGAAATCCTGTGGAGAATGTCTGCTCTAAGCAGTGTTCCTTAAAGGAATTTTCCCTATGGGATCCAGGTGTCAACCACAACTAGAAAGGTTACCTGCCACCCTTAGGCAGAGAGCATCTCTTAAAGGTGGTGGGATAATGTGGAAAAGGATAGTAAAAATGGCAGTGTCACAGAAAAAAAGGTACATGGGGAAAATCATGAATGTATGTTCTGCTAAATAGATTTTCACCAGCCAACCAGCAAATCTCATGGTCTTCCTCTGACACTCATGAGGCTGTCAGGACTAGAGGGCAGCTTAGTGGCAACTGATAACTCCCCAGAGGGGAGGGCCCTAGACAGCATGTTGGTGTCCCTTGATACCTTAGCTCCACCAGCCAGGCTGGACTGCTGGGCCCAACCCTGTCCTAAGGGCAATCACCTGAGAGGGGGGAGGGGACTGGGACATAAGATCTACTCACACATCAGGGCCTTACAAGAGGAGCCAGGAGACCCTCAAGATGACAGGGTGTGGAGATGTGGAGAGACACTGGGGTTGTATTTTTTAATTTTTATTTTTTAAATTTGAGTAAATTTTGAGTCACAAAGAATCTGCAGAGTTCCCATATACCTTCTGCCAGTTCTCTAAGTATTACCATGCTATGTAAATTTAACACAGCTCTGGTGACTTAATGGTTAAGCCTTTGGCTGTTAAATGTAAGGTGAGCAATTTAAACCTACCCAGAAGCTGTATAAGAGCAAGATCAAATGGTCTATTTCTATAAATATGAAAGCTAAGAAAACTTTATGAGGCGCTGGTATAAAATAAAAATTAAAAAAGAAAACTTTATGGGACAGTTTTTCTATTTTGTTGTTGGGTGCTATAAAGTATGACTCATATGACCCTATGGAACAATAGATCTGAACTCTGTCCTGTCCTGTGCCATTCTCATTATTTCAGACATCAAGTCCACTTCAGCAGTTACTGTGGTTGAGGTTACATCTGGTTGAGGGTCTTCTTTTCTTTTGCAACCCTCTACCTTTCTGAGAATAATGTCCCTCCCCAATGAATAGCCTCTCCTGAGTTTTCCTGAGATGTAATCCATATTGAAGCCTGTAGTGTGTGATCATCTGCGGCAAATGCTTCTGCTCTGTTACATGTGGCCAACACAACTAAATGCCACATGAGCCAGACTTCTTAGGACTGTAGTAATTTCCAGAAAAACTGAAAAATTGACACGTTAAGATGGAGAGTCCTCACATACCCCACGCTCTAGCTCCTAGCAGCTGACGTTAGTATGCAATGACGCTGTTACGTGCTGTCAAGCTGCCTCCAATGCCAAGGGACCCCATGAACAGAAGAACGGACCCTGCCTGATGCTGCACCATCACAGTCTCACGTGCTTGAGCAATGCTGGTGTGTGATTTTCAACTCCAGTCTTGTACTTTCTGCACATTCCCTTACTCTCTCTCCTTTCCTGTCTCAGGATCCTACATGACATTTAGTTGTTATTTCTCCTCAGGCTCCTCTGGGCTATGAAGGTTCCTAAGTCTGTCCTTGATTAGGATAGTGCCATGCATTTAAGTGTGACCCCATCCTCCCCTCAAAATATGTTTTGGAATCTCGACCCTGTATCTGTAATTCTCTTAGGAGAAAAGATTCTCTTTGTTGGGCTAATGAAGCTGTGCAAGTGTATCCTAAACGTCATCGCTGCTGAATGCTGTACGAATAGTGCACAGACGAGAAACTCTAACTAGGGATGAGAGATGTCACCTGGAGATCACCAAGGAGCCGAGGGCCACAGGGTGACAGGAGGTGACACAAGGATCTTCCCCTGGAGACAGCCATCCCCTAGCGCCAGGACCCTGAATTCCAATTTACAGCCTCCTCAATGATGAGAAAATAAAATTTCTTTAAAGCCACCCACCAGTGTTATTTCTGTCACAGCAGCACTAGGAGACTAAGGCAAGGACCACGGAGAACACCCTCCAGCACCGAGCGTGGTGGTGTCTCTCCCTTCTTTCAACCTGAGTGCAGAAAACCTTTAGAGATGCTTTCTGCTCTGCTTTGAGATGCTATAATTAGGACAGCCACGCGGATGCTAACAAGCTTCGTCTCCATGGCAATCAGATGCCTGCAAGCTGACAAGGCCAAGGAAACACATGCTGAAGAACTAAGCTTAGAGCAACAAGGCTGTGAGACAAATGGAAAAGGCACTCGGGTTGCAGCCCGGGCGTGGGAAGCAAAGGTGGTGTTGCCGAATTTCTAGCAGGTCAGGCAGCAGCTGATCACCCACCCTCCTGTGTTCCTAGAACCTTTCTGGGCTCTTAGAAATGAGCTCGATGCCCAGCTCAGCAGACATCTCCAAGGCAGGAGCAGGGTGGGTGCTGGGAGGCTGCATGGCCTCCAGAGTGTGGCCTTCAATGGCCTCGAACTCTCAGAAGGCAGGCCTGTCTGCTGTCTTTACCGAAGTCCCCCTTA